CAGGCTCCGCCTCCATCGTGGCCCCTCAGGACAGCGAGCACCAGCTGCTCCAAGGCCGAGTACGAGCTGATGCTCAAGATCAGGTCTGGCTCCTTCGGGAACATCTACCAACAGCTAGAAGGTGGCCATGCAGCTGGCGTCTCAGAAGGCGGCATCCCCAGCTGCTGTATGAGAACAAACTCAGTAAGGTCCTGTAAGGCGGGGTGGGTATCCCCCCATACGGTGGTATGGTCAGGAAAAAGACTACAATGTTCTGGTCATGAATCTGAGGGGACCCATCCTTGAAGACCTCTTCAATTTCTGTTCAAGAAGATTCACAATGAAAACCGCACTTACCTTAGCTGACAAGATGATCAGTAGAATTGAATATGTGCTTACAAAGAATTTTATACAGAGACGTTAAACCAGGTAACTTCCTAATGGGTGTTGGGCGTCACTGTAAGAAGTCATTCCTTATTGATTTTGGTTTGGCCAAAAAGTTCAGAGACAACAGGATAAGGCAACACATACCATACAGAGAAAATAAAAGCTTCACGGGCACTGCCCGATATGCTAGCATCAATGCACATCTTGGTATTGAGCAGAGTCGCCGAGATGACATGAAACCATTAGGATATGTTTTGATGTATTTTAGTAGAAGCAGCCTGCCGTGGCAAGGACTGAAGCCTGCAACAAAGAAACGAAAATATGAAAAGATTAGTGAAAAGAAGATGTCCACTCCTGTTGAGGTTCTGTGTAAGGGGTTTCCTGCAAAATTTGCCATGTACTCAAACTATTGTCGTGGGCTAGCTTTGAGGAAGTTCCTGGTTACATGTATCGGAGGCAGCTATTCAGTGTTCTTTTCAGGACCCTGGACCACCAGTATGACTGACTACACATTTCACTGACAATGTTAAAGCAGAAAGCAGCACAGCAAGCCACTTCTTTCAGTGGGCAGGGCCAGCAGGCCCAAACACCCACAGGAAAGCAGACTGACAAAACCAACAGAGTAACATGAAAGATTTCTAAGCATGATTTGAGGAACAGAAGTAGCAGAACTAATGATTGGAGCAGCATTTGTTTCTCCCCAAATCTAGAAATTTTAGTTCATATGTGCACTAGCCAGTGGTTGTGGACAACCACTAACTTGGTGTAAAGAACTTAATTTCAAGCCAGGCTCGGTGGCTCAGCCTGTAATCCTGCGCCTTTGGGAGGCTGAGGTGAGTCGATTGCTTGAGCCCGCGGGTTCGAGACCCGCCTGGGCAGCGAGACCTCATCTCTACAATAAATAAAAAAATCAGCCGGGCGTGGTAGCGCATGCCTGTAATTCCGGCTACTTGGAAGGCTGAGGTGGAAGGATCGCCGGAGCCCAGCAGGTCGAGGTTGCGGTGGCCGGGAGCGGCCACTGCACTCCAGTCTGGGTGACAGAGTGAGACTCCAACTCAAAAAAAAAAAGAGCTTAATTTCAGTATAAACTGACTCTGGGCAGCACTGGTGATGTTGGATCCTGGATTGGAGTCACTATAATTGTGAATATTAACTGAGATAGTAAAACATGGTATCCAGTTTTCTACTGCATTTTTTTCAAGTGGAAAAGTTAACTAAATGGTTGACACATACAAATGGGTGGAGAAATTGTGCATATGCCAATTTTTTGTTAAAACCTTTTATTTTTGAACTACACTGCTTTGAGATCTCATTTCAGAAGAACGGCATGAACAGTCTTCAGTCACAGTTGTGATGGTTGTAAATGCTCACAATTGTGCATTCTTAGGGTTTTTCCATCCCTGGGTTTTGAAAATTGTTCACTTAAAACATTCTCAAAATGGGTGGCTTCTGATTTGCAAGCCAGTTGATACGGTAGCAACCAAAGATTCCAACGTTTGATCATATGGAAGACTCTGTCTGCTTACCTGTGATAGAAATCACAGCATTTAAAGTGAGCACTTAAGACAAACTTAGTGACTACTAGATTATCCTGCATTGACTCTATAATGTTCTTGGTATTAAAGAAAAAGCATATTTATCACAGAGATTTAATTAGCATCTTACATAGGAACATGTATGTATGTTGCTCAGATAAATGTAATCATTGTAAACATCTATATGATCTGGGATTTTATTTTTATTTTGAAATGGAAGCTTTTTGTTTACAAGTTCATTAAAAACTAAAAACTTTCTGTAAGAAACATAAAATCTATTGAAAAACGTTTATTGAGTACAAGTAGAGTCTACATTAGTGATTACAAGAACATCTGTAATTGATAATATGTTAATTTATCTGGAGAATCTGCAAGTACAGATAAAAGAGCTACATAGTTATTTCTCTGAATTAAAACAATAGGTTAATAAAGAGGCTAAATAATGAATCAAATTTTCAATTTTGATGAATAGACTCTTTGAGAAGCAAATAGCCCTCAACATTTACTTCTTGAAGGGAAAAACACAAACCCCAATACCTAAGGCAGTAAAAGATTGACTAAATCACTAAATATTTAACTATGCTAGTCTATTTATTGTGATTGTGATTATTTTAGTTTGTATTCGTGTTCTAAACACAAGAATACAAGTATTTTTCAGGAGCATACATATAGTATTATAGTAGAAAGCCTTTTCTATTATTTCACTGATTTTATAGAGGAGAGAAATTGAGAGTGAGTGAAGTGATCTATCCACTTTCAGAATGCTGGTAAGTGGATTGGATTTCTAAGTCTGTCAATTCCGCAGCCAGTTCTCTTAATTCCTATGGTATCAATATCAAACTAAGTTTAATTCTTTTTTTCTGATTGACACCACTTACTATTAAGGTGAAGAAAATGTGCATGTAAAAGGAATCACATCTTGAGTATTGCCTATTCTGCAAAGTAGTCCTATTCAGGGTCACACTTTAACAATCCCTTTATTATCATTAAATATGTCTTTTTACCACTAGTAATATTCCTTGTTCTAACAGATATTAATAGAGCCATTGAGTTTTCTTATTTAGTGTTGTGCAGCGTATCCTATCCTTTTTTTAATTTTCAGCTTTTCAGTATAATGGAGTCAAGGAAGAAAACAGATTTTAAACATCACATGGAAAACGGACATAAGTTTTATTGGTAAAAAGGGAAGCTAGCAAAGAAAGGAGATAAGGGACCACATTATCCCAATATGGCCAAGGTATCTTGTGCTTAGCTGCTTACCAACATTGTTTCATGGCTCAAACCACACAGAACAGATGTGGAAATCTTAGGACCTGTGAGAAGATACAATCATCACTGTTGGGTGAAGGGAGAGGATTTTCTGGCTCAATGCCAAACTCAGATTGGATGTCAAGTATTCTCCTAAGGGAAGGGGAAAAGATACAGTTGTCAGCACAAGACAGAGTGAACACCAAGGTTAATTAAAAAAAGAAAATACCCCTTGTATCACGTCTGCCTTAGCTGTGCTGTCTTCTATTTTGCCCCTAAACTTTTGGTCTAAAGCAATATCATATGAAAATTTTGAGGTTTTTATGTTTGCTTGTTGTGTGTTTGTTTGTTTGGCAATATGAGTGGAGTATTCTGGTGAGACCACACACACACACACACACACACACACACAAGGTCTTTCAGCGCACCAGCAGTAGAAACAGTTATTGTTGAGTTTCATTAATTGATAAATACAGGGGTGAGCTGAGAGCATGTAAAACATTTAGGTCTTCTCCATGAAAATAAGAAATAAATCATTAAATAAAGCATACATTCAGATACAGTGCTTTTGTTTAACCACTTTAATAATCATTAAAATGACTGTTAAAACTTTATTTTGTTAAACCGTTTGCTTTATAAAGAAGAGCTCAGTGGTCTCTTCCTTGAGTCTGCCTATTTAGTTTCTATGAATACTATCAAAAGATTTGCTATTCCTGCTGTTAGACACTATTGACATAAGAACTACTGTACTTTTTTTTATCAGGAAATAAAATTTCATTTAATTTCTTAATTACATGTTGATATTTAGACCAAAAAACACTCCAGTGGTGAGTTTTGAGAAGTATATGCAAATGAGTAGGTACTGGGACCTTAAACGTATTCGTAAACATATGTATTGTTAAGAAAATTCCATCAGTATCTGATTTCTTGGAGTATGCTGTCTGTAGATTATAGATTTGCCATTTTGGTCAAAAATATAAATATCAGTTTTACTTAATATTCATATTTTACACGTCAATATGTGAACAAATAAGAGAAAAATTCTGCCATTTAGAAAAGTATGTGTGTGAAAGAACATGTGTATTTAAACATCATTTACATTTGTTTTTACAAAAGAATTAGGGGTTTTTTCAACATTTCTTAGACAGAGCTCACTAGTGATAATATGTTAAAATATTACTATTATTATTAAGTTGCTTACAAAATCTTCTAAAGACACCTCCTTTTTATTTTTGTAATTATGCAATGGTATAACATTTAGACCACGTTTTTGCCTTAAGAAAATGCAGCTGGCACATTTTTGCATTACATTTTTCAAGCTGGATTCATATTTATGGATTCTCTATATATATTTGTGTACGCTATCCTAAGCCAATGACTTCTTTTGTTATTTGTCATTTATTCTATATTTTTAGGATGCTACTTTTTTTTTTTTTTTGAGTTAGAGTCTCACTCTGTTGCCCAGACTGGAGTGCAGTGGCCGCTCCCAGCCACCGCAGCCTCGACCTGCTGGGCTCCGGCGATCCTTCCACCTCAGCCTTCCTAGTAGCCGAAATTACAGGCATGCGCTACCACACCCGACTGATTTTTGATTTATTGTAGAGATGAGGTCCCGCCAAATTGCCCAGGCGGGTCTTGAACCCGCGGGCTCAGGCAATCCACTCACCTCAGCCTCCCAAAGCACGGGATTACAGGCTGAGCCACCGAGACCGGCAGGATGCTACATTTTTCTTTGCATAGCCATCGCTTCTATATTTTGTAAGTTTAATAAAATACATCTGCTGAAAATGACTGTTCTAAGTAGTAATGCATTATTATTTGGCAAAGATATCATTGCTGTGTGAGGGAAAAATGGGATTTGAGTTGCATCAGTGCTGTTTGCATTCAACGTGTAAAACGCATGGGATCTTTAACAGAGTAGGAAAGATTAGAGATATACTCTCCTTTCAACTCTTATTCAAAAACTGTCTACAATTCAGTCTGCTGAAAAAAATAATAAGAAAGCAAGCATTGAAATGTTACCTTGGAATAGTGTGCTGTTCTAGTGGAGTGACCCAGACATGTCTTAAAGAAGAATAGCTTTTATTGCACGTCTGCACACTAGTCGTGTCTTTCACATTAAGATTTATGTTTCATGGATTTGTTATAAGATAAAAGAAAAAGAAAGAGTTCTCACCATGGGAGATGCAACTACCTTTTTAAAACAAATCTCTTCCTTTTTTTTTTTCCTCTCCCTTAGTTCGAAGTATCTTTTCATATCAGAACTCTTGCTGAATGAATTGAGGCATAGGACTCTGTTGTTATCAGCATCTCTTTCTGTTCAGCATAAAATTCAATGATAATGTCTGTGTGAAGTGATGGGCAGGGAGAGGAACCGATGTATATTATTCAAGAGAAACAATAAATCAATGTTGAAACCACCAAGTGTTTGAATCTCTGTTTTCCACCTTAATCTTTCCAAAAAATATTATTTATAAAAAAAATAGTGAGGGGATTTTTGCTTCTTTTGTCAAGAACATTTTCTATGTTATTCTAGATATACAACTGAGTTTTTTCTACTTTAAAATAGCTAGCCGATGAGAGTTTAAGATCATGATCTTTGCTAAAGAGTGCATATGAGGAGAATATGTTTCATATAAATTTCTTTGGTTTGCAGGTACAATTCTGGTGGACAACATGCTGATCAAAGGGACTGCAGGAGGACCAGACCCCACCATAGAACTCTCTTTGAAAGACAATGTGGATTACTGGGTGCTGTTGGATCCTGTTAAACAAATGCTTTTCCTGAACAGCACGGGCAGAGTTCTGGATAGAGATGTTAGTGGGATTTGTTTTACTTTCTTTGTCCTGTGTTAAAACTTTACTATAGTTTAATTGTCTCCATGTGTATATTTTCTTCATATAATCTGAGTTTATTTTCTAAGTATATCAACAACTTTTTTTTTTTTTTTGAGTTAGAGTCTCACTCTGTCACTCAGACTGGAATGCAGCGGCCGCTCCCAGCCACTGCAGCCTCGACCTGCTGAACTCTCGTAATCCTTCCGCCTCAGCCTTCTAAGTAGCTGGAACTACAGACGCACGCTACTACGCCCGGCTAATTTTTTATTTATTGTAGATATGAGGTCTCACCAAGTTGTCCAGGCGGGTCTCGAACCTGCGGGCTCAGGGCAATTCACTAACCTCAGCCTCCCAAAGCACTGGGATTACAGGCTGAACTACAGAACCCGGCTTCTTTTTTTTTTTTTTTTTTTTTTTTTTATTT